CCTCGGACAGGAGCAGCGGCGCAACACGGCCGCCGAGGCCGATAGAAAATCGCCATATCTATAGCAACGCAGCGGCCAGCCCCGAGGCTCACACAAAACGCGCACACCGACACCAGCGGCCAGCTCAGAGACTGACAGAGAGCGCGCACACCGACACCAGCGGCCATCCCTAGGAGACCGATAGAGAGCGCGCTGGCACACTGACACCATGCAGCGTGGCAGTCACGAGAAGGTAGGTGTCAGTGGGTTCCAGCACCTTTTGCAGCCAGCCCAGGGGCTCCCGTGGTATGTACCGCGGCCCAGTCCCTACCGCGCGGCAGGATACTGGGCAGGTCCGGTGGCACCGGTGCTCTCCGGTACCGGTCCGCGCGCCTCTCCGCGCCGGCCGGCCGGCCGGAAGTTGTGTGTGAATTGGCTCGGCCGGGAGGGACAGCCCCACCGGGCAGAGGGAGGGGAGGGGTCTGGCAGAGTGCCAGGATTCGGCTCTGGCCTCTGCATTGTCTCGGGGAGAACTCCAACAGACCGGAGGAAGTTTTATTGTTTTGAGGTTCAGCCGGCCCCGGATAAGTGACAGTGAGCGCGATTAAAGTATTGCTTTAAAAAATCCCAGGTTTTCATCGAGCTGTTCTTGAATTCTGGCAGTGATGAAGAACATGTACCTAAATAGACACCTTTTATGCTGCTGATGATATTCATAATGGCAAAAAAGCACGTAATTTTGCAATGGATGGTGAAGGTTAGATCATCTCAAATGAACATTAAATGGTGGCATGGTTTCTTGTGTGAATCGTCGATTGAAAAATAAATACCATTCTACAAAAAAATGGTTGCATAGCTAAAAATGGATATCAAGCTATGGAAGAGCATTGATAAGCCCTGAAAGTGAGTTTTGTCTGGGCGTTTGTGACTACTATACCTACCGTATGTAGTAGGGTGCCAAAATGGCCATAACGGCACGGTGTCACGTGTTATACCCAGCGGGACGTCAACAGAAGCACACCCGCCAGATATACGGGTACTAACTCGAGCTGCATGGACCCCGAACCCCTACACACGCTGCACTAAAACACTGCAGCGCCACGCAGCGGAGCAGGCCGCTTTATTACCCACCAGACTTATTATGAAATGCAGCCTCGTAGTCAGATTGTCTCCGCCAATGACCAAACAGATACTAAAGCCTATATACGACTTCACATTTCACTTCTGACGAGACAAGCAATGTGCTATGTAAGTTCAGCGCAGAAACTGGAAACTATGTAGCTCGTATGTTGCATAACATTTCATACAAGAGGCTAATTGGCGTAGTGCATTGTACATTGTACTTCAGTTGCACGGTGTAAAAAATGGTTACTTTGAATGAAAAATGTATTAAACGGGTGTCTTTTTCATATCAATATTTCAATGGGTAGGTGGGCACACTACGCTACTCAGCATGATAAATTTGCAGGCTCAGGGCTCGTTCCTTGGAACTGACTGGAACTGACCACCCTCAGTGGCCGCCAGGCGGACTCGGTAGCGCGCGCGCCAGCCCCGTGCCGCAGGGAGGAGGGGGGGGGGGGGGGGGACTGTTTTTCCCAGTGCAGTCACGTCTGCGGCGGCCTCCTTTGATCCGCGGATTGGCCGTCGGGCGGGGGGAGGGGCGGGCGGCCCCGCTGCGACCGGCTGAGAGTGCGGCAGCGTCTCCGGGCTGTCGGACCGAACCAAGGACTGCGACATGCGCAGACCCCGTACCCCTCACATGAGTTGTCGGACCGGACTGATTAGGCCCTGCAATGACCAGTGTTTCGTGGGACAGCCACCTTTATAGGCGGCTTGGGCAGCTTTGATGGCGGGGGGGGGGGGGGGGGCTACGCACGCGCCAAGCCCAGCTGATGAAAATGGAGCCTGTGTTTTGGGCAACGCGGATTCTTTTGCAGAACGGCGAAGCTCATTCACATACATGGAAACAGCTCATTTATAAATGACTGCCGTGGCTGTCAGGCTCTAGTCACATTTACGAGTACATCTAGCATAGCCTTCCCACTCGATGAAGCGGTCCCCGTCCACGGCAGTGGGCTCGCTCACGGTACTGTTCTTCCCGCCCGCCCCGTCCTTCGGTCCTGTCCGTCGGTCCACCCGGCCCTCCGATCCGTCCGCCGGCCGGGCCCGTTCGTCGGTCCGATACGGGCCGCCGGGGAGCCGTACCGACAATTGGAGGCCGCTCTGACGGCCTTGGCTGGGCGGCCAGCCGCGACGAGATGGGCTGCCAGTCGACCACTCTCGGCCCGACAGCATACAGCGGACAGCGACACCCGTACAGCGGGCGGTCAGCGGACAGTGGACAGCGGTCAGCGGACAGCGGACAGCGGACAGCGGACAGCAGACAGCGGACAGCGGCACCCGTACAGCGGACAGTGGACCGGAACAGCGGACCAGTACAGCGGACAGCGGCACCCGTACAGCGGACAGTGGATCGGAACAGCGGACAGCGGCACCCGTACAGCGGACAGCGGACAGCAGCACCCGTACAGCGGACAGCAGCACCCGTACAGCGGGCAGCAACACCCGTCCAGCGGGCGGGCAGCGGACAGCGGACAGCAGACAGCGGGCAGTACACACTGGACCGGGATAGCAGACCAAGACAGCGGACAGCAGCATCAGTATGGCGGACTGGGGACACCGGTCAGAGGACAGCGGACAGCAGACAGCAGTACAATGGACTGCGGACAGCGGTCAGCGAACAGCAGACAGCATCCTCCGGGAAGTGTCCTCGGACAGCGGACCGGGACAGCGGTCTCAGACAACGGACAGTAGCTAGCGACCTCGGACAGCAGACATGAGACAGGGCGGGACAGCGGACAGCGAGTCCCATCCAGGATAAGACAACGGCTTCCAGGCATGGTTTGGTGACGGATTTTGATCCCACACCTTCTAAATATGAATGCTAATTGAGTTTATCAACTAATCTCCAGCCAACATAGCGCACGATTGAATCAGTCAATCTGCGCCTATATAAATTGCCTTGAGCTGCATTCACCGCATATATTATGATAAGTCTTGATAAACCAAATTTCGAACGGTGATCCATTTCACTTGAACGTATTTCTCCAGCGAAACAAGATTAGGAAATGGATAAAACGTTTCTGTGATTTATGTAAACGACTATGTCTCCTTGAGCGGCACGCCGTGATCTATCGGCCGTTTTAGCCTCCTCAAATACGATTATTCTTCATCAGGGATGAGAAAACAAATTGAGGAGACGCCAACTTCTTGGGGTTTATCTTCCCTGACATTTACTTCATGTTTATATTCATCAATTTTTTAAATAAATGAAGGGAAACACTTTGAGTCACGTTCCCATACAACGCAAAGGAGCAAAGCACCGATATCCTTCAACAGCGTAACGGCTAACTCGGCAAATAAAGTCACTCCTTCAGGGCACTCTAGACTATTCAGGTCTCTGTCTCTGAATGTAATAAAGTTATCCTTATAGGCACGACACGCCTAATCTTTCTAGCTGAGATGCTCAGATGCAATAAAAAATGTGTCGTGTGGTTACTTTTCAAAAAGATAAGCGTTCCCGCATTGGAAATGAAATATTTTAGAGTCAAAGCGATCAAGGAGTTGGTAGGCAATTACCTGAATTTTATTCAACATTTATATTGAAATTACTTTCACGCTACCATTCCATTTGACACAAAAAATTGTTTTTCACAGAGTTATAACCATAGCAATCTTCAATGAAGGACCACTAAAATAACTAGATTGTCTCCGATCTAAGGTAAACGTTTATCTCGGAGTCCTTCCCTGACTGAAACTCAATGGAAGAGCCGCAGCGCTGCGGGGCGCCGTACAAGGTAGGTATATGGTGGGGCGCGGTGGTACGGCGTCGGCGGCGTACCTTGCAGTTGTCGCAGCACGGCCCCGACGAGCACTCGGCCTGGTCGCGCAGCTTGCAGGTGATGTGGTCGCAGCACGGGTCCAGTCGCGCGCACTCGGCACTGTCCACGGTGCCACAGTCGCAGTCCTCGCCGTCCTCCACGATACCGTTACCGCAGTTCCGGATCTTCAGCTGAAAACGGCACCCGGTTAGCGTCATCAAATATACACGATTAGCCCATTGTCGCATTAAAACTAATGAGCATTTAGTTAAAAAATTGCAACAGTTGATATGTTAGCGCAGCGGTTTCCTCTATCGGCTTTGCCCAGCGCCGTTCGCTTGGATATCGACTAGGCCATGGTCAACTGTGATAGAAGTTGAAAGGCTGCGGATATTTAGGATGAAGATGGAGCAGTCGCGTTACACACGGTCGTGTAAACAGTCGTGATACACTCGCTGTGGATCTTCAGTGGAAGAGGTCGCGAAGATCGCGGTACCAAAGCTGCACATCTTCAAGGAACAGGCATGCCGTACAGGTGTGAGGTGGAGCGCCAATAAAATAAGCTCAGTAAGTACAGACGGTGCGACATTTACAAATCGGCCCTTATTTGCTTCATGGAACGCTGACTTTACTCTATGACACGCCAGTCTCTTTCTTAGAGGGCATTTACCAAGGCACAGTGCTGGGCGCAGTGAGGTTTGTTTGATTTTAGTGCTGTCCCCAACCAACATGAATTACTGCAAATCAAGCAAAATGGTTCGATGATGTCTTTCCAAGGAGTGCTTCCTATGCAGTCGGCTTCCCATTGCAATAAGTTTCAGTATGTATGCATGTATGAACAACGCAAATAAATCTCGTCAGTCGGCTCAAGTGCGTATGGGCGGCTCTATCTAGTCGGATGAATTTGAATATCAAAGTGAACTTTCGGGAAAGATCTCATTTTCTGGGATTGGCGAAGACAGTGGTGTTCCATTTTCCATGGCGCTGTTCGCCGGGCTATCGGCGACGGACGGCCGGCCGGCCGCAGTGTGCCTGGAGCCCGACGGACGCCGTTATGGCCGGAGGGTCAGCCCAGAGGGGATGGGGGGTCAGCCGGGCGGGAGAGGTCCTGGCGGGAGGGTCAGGGAGGGCAGAAGGGGTCCACCCGCCATCGGCCAACAGCTGGGTCCGCTTGCCAGGACACATAAAATGGTATACGAGTGGCAATTTACACTTGTTTAAGCTAGTATTTTCAGCGAATTAATCTAACCTGCATTCTTAATTCTTATGGACACAATTTATGCTTGACAAAGATAACGCAATATGATGATATGTAATATGATAATAACGTAATATGATAATATGATATGTTAACGTAATATGATAAGGTAAAAAATAACATATTGCGCTGGTCGTCCCATGCAGCTGCGTTTCAATCGCCAATGGATTCTTAAACGTTATGATCGGCACTTTGTCAATGTGAATGCAAGGTTAGATGCAAGGCAAGCGAATGACGAAAATACTCCCTTATACCGTGAAGTAAATATGCATGCATGCAAGACCATCATTTGCAGGGGCCTATGCAATGAGACACTATGCAATGCATCATTGATACGAACGAGGAAGCTTGCTGGGACAGCGAAATAGCTATACCTAGATAGTCAGATAAAAATGAAGATATGCAATGAAACTGATAAATGAGACCACATAGTATGTACATACAACTATATTTACATATAAGTATATCTACATACCTATTCAATATGGATGCAAACATCAAATAGTTTCGACCAATGTGCTTCTCTGTCACGAATCATAACCTCTTTGTCATGCCAGGTTTGCTTATTGCTGACAAAGAGCACCTACTCGCTTCCCGCATCCCGGTAAAAAAACGACAAACACCTGCGAGGCAATGAACTGACGTGCCACGACTCTCGAGCTGCGCTGCGCCATGCGGCAGCCATGCGTTACGGTACGGCATGCGGCGGCATGCGGCGGCCGCTGGCCAGCGCCGGGCCGGGCCGGGCCGGGCCTCCAGTGCGTGCCCGGGTGTCGTGCTCTTACTGAGACCTCGTTGGGTCGGTTGAACAGGCACAGGCCGTGCGAGCGCTCCAGCTCCTTGTGGTAGTCCAGCCGCGAGCACTGCGAAAACTTGTACGGCTGCACGCTGTCCTTGCCGACGATGTTGGCCGACATGATGCAGCCGTGCCAGTCGGAGCAGGTGCAGCCCTCGCCTGCGGCACCGCCGGGTCACAGCGTCACGGGGCGACACGACACAGCGTGACACACCACAGGGCGACCGGTCACAGTGCAAGTCAGCCTACCTGCACCGGGTCACAGCGCCACCGGGGCACAGCGGCAAAGCACAACACGTCACACAGCTGCTCCGGGTCACAGCGCAACCAGGGTACAGGGGCAAAACATGTCTCTGGCCACAGCCGAGACACACTAATTTAGCAGTGATTGACGAGTAAAAGGACGTAAAAGAAGGCAGTGTCGTCACTGGGAACTTTGTCCAAATGCTGTTAAAAGAACTCGAGGAACTGAAACGTCAAGTAGCGCTGTCGGCACTTCAGCACTGTTACAGTCAGCCGACAACCTATGTCCAATATAACATCTATCACATCCGTCACATTGTCACAGATATCATTGAAAGCCTGTCGCAATCTGCAACTGTTAGCCTGCTATATCAGTACATACACGGGGCAGCAGCCCGCCGTCGCGTGTTTCCAGTGTGCCCTTCCCCAGTGCAGCTGTCACATGTCATAAATACCCAGCCGTCGTGGCATGCAATGACTGTCACTCATCATCTACAGCAGTTGCAAACGGAGCCTCAACTCACATGCAATCCTGATGTTTGTTGCGTGTCGGCCAACTCATGCCTTTCAAGTGTAATGTTTTGAAATATCTTGAGCCGGGTTCAATTGTCTTTACATTCAAAATGAATGGTGTGTACTTATTTCCTTAATCGTTTATTTGCTATATGGTGATAACTGACTGCAGAAGTCACATGCCAAAAGTCTTTTCTTAACAACAGCCATTTTCAAGACGGCCATCTGGTATTTACGCATTTGGTGTAGATTAGCTGCAAATTTGGTGCACATTTGGTCAAATAAGGTTGAGAGTGTTTCTTGGACTGCACAGATGCCTTTATACCCCATTTGTCAAATTATCTGACATCATTTTCCTTTTAAACACTGAAATAAATTGATGATGCTAATATATTTAGTATAAAAGAAATTGAATGCAGATTGGATCAAATTTGGTGCATTTGCCAGATAGCCCGTCGTGAAAACGGCTAATGAGTCAGAGTAGGATGGTGAGTGCGCAAAATGTGAACATATGTCACTAAAGTAAATATGTATAGGAGATTTATGAACAATTTTATTCACTGTTTTAGAGTCATATTTTTCCCAGGTTTATGTTTGTAGATATAAAACTTTATCGGAATTCACTGGGATTGTATTGCGTATGCAAGTCCAAATATTTCGGCCAATATTGTTTGGCCTTGGTCACTGGACAACTACAATAACCCTATAAGTATAGCTCACATTGCAGCGATACCCAAAATTCTCATTGCAGCGAATTTTGGGTATCGCTGCAATGTGAGCTATACTTATAGGGTTATTGTAGTTGTCCAGTGACCAAGGCCAAACAATATTGGCCGAAATATTTGGACTTGCATACGCAATACAATCCCAGTGAATTCCGACAAAGTTTTATATCTACAAATTTTATTCACTGCAGGGCCCATCGCTCTTTGGTATGAGGAGGTCACCAGCGAAGGACCCTGAGTCCGTGCCGGTAAGCCGGCTGGTGTCCAACTGCCTGGCACAGGTAGGTATACGGCCCGGGGTCGGCTGGTGACCCACTGTCAGGCACAGGTAGGTATACGGCCCGGGGTCGGCTGGTGACCCACTGTCAGGCACAGGTAGGTATACGGCCCGCACTGAAAACAAATCTACTCATGAGGGGAGAGTAATTCATATTTGACTCGCCATTCATGAGTATATTTGGATGAGTAACTCATGCGTGGAGCGTTAACACTCAAGAGTAAAAGTTTACTCGATATGAAAACTCAATTGCCCAAATGCATGACCTTCTCCCTATGAGTTGCCTGACTCATGACGCACAAAACATTGGTATCAAAACTCCCTGTTGAGTCTCGCAAACTCATGTAAGGCGAGTAAGGAATGTACTCACGACCCGTGAGTTAGTGAAACTGAACGTTTGGGTTTAAGAACTCATGAAAAAGAGGGCAGGGATTCTTGCTAACTCATTGTTCGTGAGTAATGAGTTCAAAAGCCAGTTTGAAATCATTAACTCTTCAAACGCAGCTTAAGGAAACCAATGATGCGCCGGTAAATATGATCAACCGTGAATTATCCATGAGCTGCTTTACACAAGCCTTACGCGTTAATATTACCGCCATGACGCCATCTTGCATGTTTGTGACGGAAGTGCAGCACGGGACGCGGCGGACGCAGTGAATTGGAGGCTGGAGCGACTGGTGAGTGTTAAATGTTGTGTATTTTATTGCCTGTAGGTATGTTTAAGTGCAAAATGCATATTTTCATTGAAAATGTACCTACATGTGCACTCACACAACACTACTGATACCTTGGGTTGTCCTGTGGGTTGGTTGACCCTCCTAGTTATGTATTGTCTATAACATGAAAGCCTTTTTGAGGGGTTCATAATATCCATCAAAATGTGGAATATCATATCAGTCATGCTCAACATGCCCCTACAGTGAAACCTAACCTGTTATTCTACGGGCAGCTTTGCCAGCGTATAGCCTAACAGAATAATTAAACATCAAGTATTTTCTTTAAGCCTTTGCCTATAGCATCTATTTCTGCCAGCCCCTAATGCTCAAACCCTGATGCAAACATCTATAGGTTAGGATAGGTGGTATATGTGCAAATGAAGTTCAAGTGGTAGGCATGTGGAAGGCTGTATGTTGTAAGATGTAGGCTGGTAGATTGTAGGTACCTATTTAGGTTGTAAGGTCTAGTTAGTAGGTTATAAGGTAAGGCTAGGTCAGCTTTTCATCATGTTTTTCATCTTCCTCGTAGTTCATCTAGTATTTTTGTAATAAACGACTTGTAATTGAATCATTTGGCCGAATCCTTCTAAAAATGAGCACCCCAAGTGCTTCTTCTAAAAGCCCACCCCTGCACCCCCCAAGAGTGAAATCTAGATACCAGGCATGGTCGAATTGATTCTATCATGATGTTCTCATCTCCTCAGCTGGACGGTGCCATGGAGGCCACTTTCTCAGAGAGGCGACACCTCATCGTCAAGAGGAAAATCCCGATGGCCACCATCCGTCGTCGATGAAAACAAAGTATGTACATTGTCATAGATAACATGAATCATTGTACATGGTCTGATGCGTTGTAAATTAGCGATCCTATGCAGTCAGAGTCAGGTGGTTTGGTGCGTGCAACTGAAGACGCGCCTTCACCGGCTCTCAGAGTCAGTTTTCTTTCTGAAGCTCATCTTGAGTTATTTTGCACCTGCCCTCATGTGTATTTTGTTTCCCTTGCTTTTGTTACCGACAGACTAGGGCCAATATCCGAAAATGATTCGATCCACAGGATCCAAGAGCGCAGTTCTTCTATCTGATTATAAATTCATCAATACTTTTTGGAGACCCTGCTGGTCCTTGATCCAACATGTTTCTTTTGTCGATGAATACCGGCGATCTTGAATCTTACATTTTTGCTCTGTGGATTGATTCTGGGGATCTTGTATCCTACATTTAGTCTCTGAGAACACATTTTTCTTGCAAAATTTCAAAATGCTTTGCATGAGCGAGGCGTACAAGGTTGTTTAAGAAGTCTTTGTGCACAACCTGCTTCGCTGGCCCTAAAGTTCAAACTTAACGCTTAATTTTATGTCTACAGACATGACATTTACGTTGGATCCAGGAAATTTGAACTCTGGCATTTCGTTCTCGCGTGGGGTCCGGAATCCTAAAGTGTTATTTATACGTGCGATCCAGGGGATCTTGGATCCTAAAATTATATTATATTTTTCAATGAGATCAAGGAGATCCAGTATTCTGAAATCCTGGCATTGCATGGGATCTTGCGGATCTTGGATCTTGATTTTTGGCTGAGGCACAAGTCTGTACTTATACCGACAATGCATGCATAACCCCAGGGTCATGTCCGCCGCACGGTAGGGATTGCGAGAGTTACTAATGCTACTGTAAAAGTGACCTATGTGTAAAACAGATGTGCTTGTGTGACATCGCATTTGCATGACCACCGATAACGGAACTGGATTGGCAGTTAATTTTCAGACGCTGCAGTAAGAAGTAGAAGAATTTAAGCCGGCCATGCGAATATCGATGGCGTCTTACTGGTATAGTCGTCCTTCAGCATGCGTCATTAATCCTTTGTTTTCAGGTCTGGAAAGAGCTGAGTCGGATAAAAAATGCCGACTTGCAGGACACCAACGAGTTGGAACTCTCCCGGGAAGCCATGACCCCGATTGTGGCCAATGGCGAAGGTGAAAGAGCAGCTGGATGCCTCACAGATGGTAAGTTAACAACATTTCACCCGGGAATGTTGGAACCGTAACCGAATAGGTACCAAAAGCTCATGTATTTATGAACGTCCTGTTAACAGTTTGATATACTCGCATACACTTACACGGAAAGTATTTAAAAAAGAGCAGAAAATGTGAAATTTCATTCGTGCTTCTTGCAAGAGATCATAGAAATTCATCGTTATATCCATGCTGTAGTAAACTACAGTGGATACTCAATACCTATAGGCATTGAGTATGATTAACACATTTTTATCGTCAATTTCAAAGTAATATATGCGAGCACTATTTACTCTAAACATATTTTAATGCTATGCTCACAAGCATCTTCTAACCCGCACCCCGCGGGAGTTCCTGGATTTCCAGGCCCTGCTGGGGGGGGGGGAGGAAACGTTTGAACCCCCCTTTTAACTTAGCTCCTGGGCCATGTAGCGATACGGCGAAGGCGGCGTTCGAAGGGACGTCAAAAATAAGGAAGAAATTATTTCGGTCACTTTTTTGGTCAGGTCAAAGGTCAGGTCACCAGAGGTCATTGAATGCAAAAGTTCACCGATTTCCAGGTTAAATTTTGATAATTTTCAATTTTTGACAACATTCAAATTTTGATCAGATCAACGCATAGCTCGGAAACTAATAGAGCTACAAAACCACAGAAAAGCGCCTTTGATAGCCCATTAACGCTCTTTCTGATTAATTCTCTCAGATTTGACCTGCCGTCAGTGGTTTTGCATGCGGGGAGGGGTAAAAACTGCCAAAATAGATATATTTTTTCTGAAAGTTTTTCAGCAAAAACTTTTGACTTAAGCCTTTCACGTACTTTCTTTTACCGGAATCGTGTTTCTCTCGGCAAGACGCATTGAATAAACTATTAGGTGACCTTGAAAGGTTAACTTAAAAATTTGACCTCAGTTCAAGGTCATGACCTGACCGATAAGGGTCAGGTTGCATATCAGTTGATCCGTTCGTCGAGATGAACACAACGAAGGTGTTTTCATCGTTCTATGCCTCTATCAAAAGTTCTTCGCGAAAAACTGTCAGATACCATTCGTGACCTGAGATGTCATCAGGGGCATAAAACGGGGTCACGGGTGCCATTTTCATGTTAAGTGTGGTTGCACTAATTGCTTATATGCCTGCTTTACCATATTATCAGAGAGTATCATCGATGAAAACACTGAAATTTACATATATAAAAATCAAAACGTCTGTACGTATGTATGTATGTATGTATGTAACGCGTCAGTCACGCTTGGCGGGCTATTACTGTGGAACGGTGCGGGCTACGGGGGTGAAATTTTGGACAGAAGTCGGACGCGTGCATCTGTTTGTCGTATTAAATTTTGGTGGGGGTGCGCTCGCCGGTTTGCACGTGGCGGGCGCATCTTTGCTGAACTTTGGGCCGCGGCCGGCGCCGAGCAGACGGCACGCGCCTCAGGCTCAGTTTCTTCGCTTCCAAACTGAGCGAAATCAGAGCCGGCAGGTCACTGACCTTTGGCAATGAATACCGGAACAGAGCACCGCCGGCCAGGAGGAGACGCCAAATTTATTCTGGCCATAACTCGGCCGCTACTGGGCCGATTTTATTGAAACTTGATTTATTATGCTGCGCGTAATGCTGTCCCTCTAGTCACATATATAAAAATCAAAACGTCTGTACGTATGTATGTATGTATGTATGTAACGTGTCAGTCACGCTTTAAGGGCTATTGCTCCGGAACGGTGCGGGCTACGGGGGTGAAATTTTGGACTTAAGTCGGACGCGTGCATCTGTTTGTCGTATTAAATTTTGGTGGGGGTGCGCTCAGCGGTTTGCACGTGGCGGGCGCATCTTTGCGGGATTTTGGGCCGCGGCCGTCGCCGATCAGAGAGCACGCGCATTATCCTCAGTTTCTTCGCTTCCAAAACTGAGCAAAATCAGAGCCGGAAGGTCACTGACCTTTGGCAATGAATACCGGAACAGAGCACCGCCGGCCAGGAGGAGACGCCAAATTTATTCTGGCCATAACTCAGCCGCTACTGGGCCGATTTTAATGAAAATTGATTCATTACGCTGCGCGTAATGCTGGACACCTAGTAAATTCATAAAATACATATATGTATTTTAAGAGATCTCTGTAAAAGAGATTAGGTGCAGATTTGGTCAAATTAGGTGCACTCGCCGGGTAGCCCGTCGCGAAAACGGCCAATATGACTTACGGCCAATATGACTTACGTCCAAAAGAGGCGCCTTTCGATTGTCTCCAATTTACTTACCTTTAACTGAGAGGTCGCAAAATTCACCTGACCTTAGGCCATCGACATCAAAATGCTAAGATATACATTTTGTACAAACTGTTGCTCTTATCAATCGCTGCAAGTTTCAAAGCAATCGGTCACTAGAGTGTAGCTATGGTAGGCTTTATAACTTTTTAAGCAGTGAGGTCACTTGGCTTGACCTGGCGACCTGACTTTAGGTGACCCGGAGCGCCGCCGTTTTTTTTAGATATTCGCGAAAATCCACAGAAGGGGTGTTCAAACACCCTCCCCCTCCCCCAGCAAGACGTGGGTTAAAATTGCGAGAGGCATACTGTACCAAATTAAAGTTTGCAGTTCGTGGCCTTTATTTCTGAAGGTAAATTTTTCCGTCGCAGACGATGCGATCGACCATCTTCTCTGCACCGTGCTAAAGAGCACCAAGTTGTGTTCACATCGGCGCCGCAGCCACGGCCTCATGTGGCGGACGACTTCCACGCCATAGAGGGCGTGCCAGCAGTGCAGTTTAAGGAGCTAACGGCAAAGGTGAACAAGCTGCTGACGTAGGGGGCCGCGTTCAGTGTTTGCGCAGTCGTTCAACCGCCCAGCCATCCGTCTGGCCGGCTACCTGATGTGTGCCGTGATCCTGAAGACCGATGTGTCGCCGCCCCCAAAGCAGTGGGCGGCGATGACCGGCTGCGTTTAGGAGTGCACGGGGAGGGACATGAGGCAGCACTTTAGGGACTTTCTGTCTCTTTTTGTGTTTGTGTTTCTGCCGGGTAGCTTTGCAAAGAAATAGCGTTAACGCTTTTTCATGCGTGTAGGCCAAGTTCACGTCTGGAAGGGCATGAGCGTCGTGCTGTGTTCATCACCCTTGTTCATATGATCAATGATGTAATAGTCGTGGTTTATCTGCATGCTATGCATTGTTTTAATAAACCTTATGTTTTAATGTTATGACTCTCATCTCATGGGTGAGGCTGACCGCGAGGGGATGAGTCGACAGAGTGGAAAAACCGGCGGCAGAGCGATCTAATAGGTGTGTTCACTTGACCATCATGTTATGAGTTACATTTAACTCGCGTATCAATCGTTGCATGGCATGAGTTACTAGCAATGCTTGAATTCGTCACAAACGGTAAACTCATGTGGTATGAGTAAGGGAACGAGAGTTAACCCGCAACTCATTGGTGATGTGACCGCTACAGGGCTAGTAACATTTACTAGCGCCTCATGTAGTCAAACGTGTGGTGTCTTCATTAACGGTGTAATATGAGTAAGCCTATACTCGCATATCATGAGTAATCAAAATGAGTTACCAAGAGTACATGAGTTTTTCACAATCGGTTAACTCATAATACACGAGTGAAGAGACATGAGTTAACGCACAATTGAGAGGTGGAATGACCGGTGCAGGCCTAGTTACATTACCGGCGCCTCGAGCAGTCAAATAGGTTGTTTAAAATTACCGCCGGTTCATGAGTTTACTCATCACCCATGGGTAATTTTGTTTTCAGTGCGGGGTCGGCTGGTGACCCACTGTCTGACACAGGTGGGTATACGGCCCGGGGTCGGCTGGTGACCCACTGTCTGGCACAGGTAGGTATACGGCCCGGGGTCGGCTGGTGACCCACTGTCAGGCACAGGTAGGTATAGGGCCCGGGGTCGGCTGGTGACCCACTGTCAGGCACAGGTAGGTATAGGGCCCGGGGTCGGCTGGTGACCCACTGTCAGGCACAGGTAGGTATAGGGCCCGGGGTCGGCTGGTGACCCACTGTCAGGCACAGGTAGGTATACGGCCCGGGGTCGGCTGGTGACCCACTGCCTGGCACAGTTAGGTATACGTCCCGGGGTCGGCTGGTAACCCACTACCTGGCACAGGTAGGTATACGGCCCGCCACGGCCCGGGGCCGGCTGGTGACCAACTGTCAGGCACAGGTAGGTATATGGCCCGGGGTCGGCTGGTGACCCACTGTCAGGCACAGTTAGGTATACGGCCCGCCACGGCCCGGGACCACCTGCACCTGGTCGGGGGCGGCGCCGGGCGCACTGGATCGACACAATCTGGGAGCGCGGCGCGCCCCTCCCCAGCGGGGCCCACCAGCTCCCCACCGGGGGCCGCCCGGCCCACTGTCGGACTCGGACGAACGACAGCGCGCCCCGGGTCGATGGCCATGAATAAGTTGTGTCTCTCCGCCGGTGCAGTGGTCGGCCACTGCCGGCGCCGCGCCGGTGGGACGGTCTGCTGAGGGTACCTACTGCCGGCCACAGCACTGTGGGCCACTACCCGCCACTGCACTGTCCGTCACTGCCGGGCCCGGGCGCAGCTGAGACGGCCTGCTGAGGGTAGGTACCTAGTGCCGGGCAGCGTGCAGTGTGCAGTGCACTATTCGTCACTGCCGGCCCCGGGCGCAGCTCAGCGACAGCCTGTCGAAGAACAGTGCCGCAAACTAACAGCCACTACCAGCCCCACGAACAGTCACTGTCGGTAACTATCAGTCCCATTATTCAGTTCCTGTACTCACTACCGGCCCCACCAGCGGTCACTATCGGTTACGTTTTTCGGATACGCTTTTCTACTAAAAATTACATTTTGAAACTGGGACTCCAGTAGTTTCGGAGGTCGATGGGCGCAAACATGGCCTCCTAAGTCGCGTTATGGAAACGCATACGCACTTGACAGCGATGCGGCCACAGCTTCGTGTTTTTATCCCAGGACAGCTCGGTACGTAACCCATCTCTGCGCCCCCGCGCATGTGACGGAGCTGTGCTGTGCGCTCTCCGCCCCCCCCCCGCGGGTGTAACAGAGCTGTGCCGTCAGCTGTGTGCCCCGCGCGGCGGTCACGTGACTCACGGTCGTCGTGTGCCATGCCGATGACGTGCCCGAGCACGTGCGCCATGGTGCTGGCCGTGACGTGCGGCTCGTAGACGTTGCTGTCCACCGTCACCCCGTATGAGTTGTCGTTGCAGATCTGACGCGGCACCGCCATCCCCGTCTTACGGTACTTGAACCGCGCACCGCTGCGGTCACAGGTCACCACAGGTCGGTCAGAGGTCACTGGACATCGGTCAGAGGTCACTGGACATCGGTCAGAGGTCACTGGACATCGGTCAGAGGTCACTGCACATCGGTCACAGGTCACCACAGATCGGTCAGAGGTCACTGGACATCGGTCACAGGTCACAACAGATGGGTCACAGATCACTGGACATCGGTCACAGGTCACCACAGATCGGTCACAGGTCACCACAGATTGGTTATGGGTCACTGCAGATCAGTCACACTCACAGGTCACCACAGGTAGGTCAGAGATCACCACATATGGGTTAACATACAGGTCAGTTACAGGTCACCACAGATTACAGGTGACAGACAGGTCACCACGATAGGTCACATGCCACCTCAGATTAGTCACAGGTCACCACAGATAGGTCAGAGGTCACCACAGATTGGTCACAGGTCATCACACAGGAAGATCACAGGTCACCACCGCTGTAGTCAGAGGTCACCTCAGATCGGCCACAGTTCACCACAGATAGGTTATAGGCACCCAGTGCAGTGGAATACATACATGAAAACATGTATTACTGATAGAACTCCTTCTTTTATTGTGAATAAAATGCATTATTATAAATACGTTGCAATACCTCTGATGAACTGATTTCTATTTGGTATTAGAATTCAAGACATTAGATGAGTGAGTAGGTAGGACCTATCTCAAATTCCTTACGACAGGTGGGTGTAAGTAGAAAGCAATTGTACATACCGGAGCCGTTTGGAGGCTTCACACTGGACGGCTCCATTTCACATCACATTAAATATAAAAAAAATATAAGAGAATAATGACATCAGTTTATCTGGTGCAATCTAAACCATCAGTAATACCTACAAACATATGCATATCATAAACAGGAGACTTTCTGGCTTTATGTAACGCATCCCCAGGGCTCAAAAAAGATGTTTGGTGGTCGCCGACCAAAAGTTTTATTCATATTGTGGTCGCAGCACCGGCTGCCCAGTGCCAACTGCCCATGGCTCTTGTTGTCGGACACGCAAAGGAACGTTTAAAGTGACCATCCCACCTTAACATTAGTTTTGAGTTGAGATAGCCAAATTGGTGGCCATGGCCTGAAAATGCCGGTTTGGGCACTCATAACATCGAAAAATGCTTTAATTCGGAGATATGGAATTTCAAACTTGCAGTTTTCGGATTCTAAGGGGCTAATGCATTGGTGTGCCCCCTTAGAATTTGTGACGTCAGCGGAGATATAACGATTTTTAAATCTTTTACTAAAACGTTTGGTAGCACGCGGTGGTACATGCTGCTTTGCGCGCAACAAATGCCGCACTTTCAAATAAAGTCGCTAGGAACAGCGGAGATCCCAAAAAGTAAACAATAGTAAAAGTCTAATATCTTGAAAACCGGTGAATATTTTTCGATGAAATTTGGTAGATATTCGTTTTCGCTCTTTCTGAACCGAGCGACATCACTTTCATGCCAATTCATTAACATTTTTGAAGGTGGGAGCCGGGAGGGTCCCTTTAAGCCTTCTAATGCTGCTATTCCCAGCCCCGTAGCCCGTATCAAGCGCCACCAATGTAGGTACACGAATCTGCAATTAAGTACAACATGGATTAAAAGCAGTGGTTTGATCGCTAACGCTGCGTTCGGACAGCCCAGTTTCCACGTGGAGTTTCTACGCCGATGAGCTCCCCACGAAAACGCCTTTCGGCCGTTTGGGCGGTTTGGCCATAGCGTTTCGCACTGACCGAACTGAATTCCTCGGCGTGGAAGTTCCACGCAGTGACCGGGCTGTCCGAACGCAGCCTAAATACACCATAACAAACAAGAGTGAAATTTTGCGCCCGAATCCCTATCCCTACCCCTCCCCTGGCTGACCCGACGGACGCCACCCCTCCCCTCGGCGTCCCTTCCTCCACGGCGGCAGTCAGCTGGCGGCCGGCCGGCCGCGCGCCGGCGCGGTGGGTGAGCGTCCCGTCCCGCCACGCCGCGTACCTACTACCACGGATCACATAAGGTGATCCGTGCTACTACGTAGTAGGAGACCATCTGGGCGACCAATGAACGGCGCTCGTCGGCGATTTTGACAACCACTCTTCCCCATTGGTTTAACACGGGTGGTCGCACAGAAAACGCCGACGAGCGCCGATGGGGAAGCGTGGTAGTATTCCCGTGTACGGAAGTTGGTAGTTTATCCTACAACAGTGGTATGTTAGCCCACCGTCCAGTGTCCAGGTTGTACCGTGGAAATAACCATGACAATTAACTAGATGATGCGCATAAGTGATGCTGAGGCTATGTCAATATTCTTACCAATATTTATATAGCTTTTCAAAGATATTCTTCAAAATTTGTTTCATATTTCGCGTTTTTGGTCGCACCATTGGGAAATGTTATGCATTCGTGGTCGCCGACCTCATCGGCAGGACGGAGCTTTATTTGAGCCCTGCGCATCCCGATGCCTTACCATAAAGAGAGAGTGGAAGACAGAGGGTGAGAGAGAGGGAGAAGTGTGTATGTGTGTGTGTGTGTATGAGAGAGAGAGAGAGAGAGAGAGAGAGAGAGAGAGAGAGAGAGAGAGAGAGAGAGAGAGAGAGAGAGAGAGAGAGAGAGGCGGCGCACCCGTGTCATCGATTCGCGAGCAGCCGGCCGACACGCGTTTACGTTTCCCGGCATTAGCGAGATAATTGGTGGGAGGGAGGATAGATGAATCTGGCGCGCTGCTGACAAGGCGCGGCGCGCTGAAAGGGAGCGAACGTGGCGCAGTGCGCCATCGCCACGCCGCCCGTCTCCGGGGACTCTGTCCGGAGCGGGGACCCAAGGTCCGGGCCTGGGGACTCGTTCGGCTCCGGGGACTGGCCCCGGACCGGAGACTCGGTCCACAGACTCGATCCACAGACTCGGTCCACAGACTCGGTCCACAGACTCGGTCCGGCAATAAGACTCAAGGTCCGGGCCCGGAGACTCCCTGCACAGCTCCGGTTAAATGATGAATGGTGAGCAGAACAGGATAAAGACATCCTGGTACGCTGAGACGCCGTGTCGGCACAGTTCAAAGTTGCTATTTAACCCGCGCGGGGCTGGCGGGTAAATTTTACCCCCCTCGCGAATTTTTGCAATATCTCAAAAACGGCGGCGCGCAGCGCCGCCAAACTTTCAGTACCTTTTCTTACATAAATTTGACACGTTCCCTGAAAATTTGAGCGAAATCCGTCGGATTTTTTTTTGAGAAATTGACGTTTTAGTGACGTCATGTTCGCCATTTTCGCCTCAAAAACGGCAAAGTTTCAAACGCCGCTAACATCTTCATTTTTAAAGGAATCAAGACGTAACAAAAAAGGTTATACGTAATTCTACTTTGTCTATCAAATGGCTATCTCGGTTTTTTGAAAAGTTTGGATTTTGGTCCAAATTTTTCCAAAAAAAAATATTTTTTTGGGAAAATAATTATAAAATCCAAAATTTTGAGTCTATCGAAAAACCGGAATATATGTTAGAGGAATGGTCTATGTGCACCTACATACCAATTTTTAGAAGAATCAGTTCAAAAATGTGGGAGTTATTCAAAAATTTATGACGTCAAAACAAACAAAAATTTTGCAAACATGTTTTTTTTTTTGGAAGTTCTAGACCTCGTACGGAAACAAAAATAGCACCATTCGATTCGCCGTGATAAACTGCATCAGATAGACACCTTTTCAGGCCTTAACAACCAACTTCAAAATTTGACCTCACTTGACCTGACCTTGACCTGACCTCGACCTGAAATTCATCCAGAGATGGTCCATATCACTTATTGAGTGTGCCTATTGAATTCTATGAGTAAAATGACCCATAAAACATGGGTCGCACATGCCCTTTTCTATATTTTGTTTTTGGTGACCTGACCTGACCTGACCTTGACCTTGACCTCTGAATGATATTGTATGCAACGAATATTGTCTTGGTAGCCTAAGAACACGTTTTGGGCAATCACCCAGCCAGCAATTCGCTTGGGCTGAACTGTGGCAGGCGTCGGGCAGCTTGGGCTTACCTTGGGTTTGCCCACTTTGATCAAAACCAATGTATTTTTTACTAGGGCTGAGCTGGGGCATGCCGCAGCTATGCCCACGTGCGGATAGCAGTAGCTCAGCCCGACATCTGCCCGCGCATCCAAAACAGGCTTAACTTGGGCGGAGCGCGGGCTGATCAAGCTGGCTGTGTCCTTCGGCTAACTGGAGTAAAGCCGGAGCTTAGCCATACTTGTTCGGCTGTTCGCGCATGCGTAGTTCTGCGCCAATCATGTGCAGCGTTTGTGACAGTCTGTGCGCTGTGCGACGAAACGACACACCGGTGTTGGGGCATTTGGTGGTTGATGTTTGGGCGCGTGTGACAGCGCGAAGAAGGGATAGTGAGCTCACTGCTCTTATCAAGTGGACTGGCATGGAGTTTTACGGTAGGTAAGTGTATTGAATGGTGCGCTTGATCGTATATAAACGTCATGATTTTGACTGAGTTTGACGCCATCAAACATGAAGCTGAATAGCTGTTCAGCCTGGCGACTTATACCCTCGCTCAGAAAAGCTGCATTCCGTGCCTTTATATCTTTGTGAAATACCAGCACTTCTGAACCAGGAAAATGAAATACAAAACACAAATATTTATCTACTTATCACCGAGCACGCTCATTCTCTGTCCGCATTTAAAATCAAATGAACATTTTATACGGATCAATGAGAAGTGTTTTTACAGTATTAATGCATCAATAAGTTATTTTTCAAGCAAACATGCAATGTAAAAAACCAATTAATCTCTTTTTCAGGTACGTACCATTAGAGCAAATGGTTCCAAAAAAGGAATAGTTATACAAACCAGGACCGGGTGGACGCCGCAGTGGCCCTCGCCAAGTGGTTTAGCGGAAACTGCCTGCTTATAATTAAGTAGGTATACCTACATATACGGAAACTGCGCCGAAAGCTGGCCGACCACCTACTGCAGATGTGTGTGTGTGGAGGAGCCAGACGCCTCCAAAGCTCCCATTCACCAGAGTGAAGTTATAAACGATTGTTTGCTTATTGCTTTATGTCTTATGAGCGATTACTTGCTGTCCTTACTTTATGCTTTCAGTTGAGTGTTTAACCAAGTATTATGAACGGGGAGGGAGGCTAGCGGGCCTTGTGATTGTTTTATAGTTTTGATGGCGTTTTTTCATGACTCATGCCATATTACTGCTGCAGTTTGCAGTCAACTGTTTCAGTTTCAGTATTTGTGTTTCATTTGACGTGTCTGCAGTCGTTTGAAATATACATTCAATCAAAGTCAACCACTACTTTCCTTTTGCAATGCTCGAGCCTCGATGACCGGTTAACAGAGCATATGAGTGACCGTAACAATTTTAAATATGCATTGAAACCGCACAACCTGCTGAAAGTGCATTGGCTGCTCCTTGCTACTTGATCCAGTGTGAAGCAAAAGCAAGATGAAGTCAAGTCGAGACTTGAGAAAACAGGAGCCATCACTCGAGTCGAACCCGAGCAAAGCCACAGCAGTTTGCAATGTATAAACCCCATGCACTTCTATGGCTTAAGTCGGGATAGACAGGGCACACAGAGTGGGCTTGCGGGAGTTCAGCCCCCTCGGGCCCAGAGTAATCTCCATTATATAAATGGATTCACTGCTCGGGCTTAAATCGGGCTAACGCCAATCGTCGCTCAACTAGGGCTAAACTACGGCTGTCCGGAGCTCGCAGAGCGGGCATACCTCCGGCAGAGCATGGGCTTTAGTCGGCGTATTTGTGTCATACGCCGACTTTAGCCCAAGCCCTAGCCGACTTTAGCCCGACTAAAAATCTCGGGCAATCCGCACTTGAGCCTGCTTGGGCCCGGAGCAAAATTGCTGGCTGGGCAGTCTCAGTCCATGACTCCAATCTTCGGCAACTACGGTGCAAGGCCGATACTGTAGGAACTTGCAATTTGTACCCCTGACCTGACCTTGACCTTGACCTCAAACTTTAAATTAAGTACATGTTTTTAGTTGTTCGTGATGAGAAATTTCGATTGGCGTTTGAATTTTCCAAATCGGTCCATTAGTTCGGGAGATAACAGGGGGGTAAAATTTACACCCCCCAGCCCCGCGCGTTCGGCTGGAGACCCCAGCCCCGCGCGGGTTAACCCTCGCATGTGTGCGGCGTTTGCCAGCTTCTAATGTGTAGGGGGGGGGTCGGTTGGACCCCCCCCCTTGCCGTTTGGCCCCTGAACGAGCTAGAGCTTCGCGGAAAAAACGAGCGTGTTGCCCGTGACGAGAGGAAGCCGATGATACCCGATTTTAAGGTCCTAGGTCATTGGTTGACCTTCCAGGTCAGGTCAATGACCCAAAGTCGGGAAAATCGGGACCTGTTAGAAAGTCGTAAAGTGTGGCTGCTAAGGGGTTTTTCGGGGTGCTGATCACGAATATCGTGTTAGTTTTGATCACAGATCATGTCTTGAAGCATTTAGACCAGGTCGGGTCAGGTCAGGTCAGGTCAACCAGTAGGCGTCGTGACGGGTATTCGTAGTACGTGTCAACCGCCTCTGACAGCTTCGTAACATGTTACGAAGTCACCAAAACTACTTCGTAAATGTTCAAATGGTTGCTAAATTCGAATTCAGCTCCAAAAACTAGCCTAGAAACATGTAAAACTCGAAAAAGTGACCCGAGGTCACCCGAGGTCACCAAAGGTCAATGACCTGACCTGACCTTCAGGTGACCTTGACACACACGGGAGTAACATCAAATCACATGTTTGAACGTTTGAAACCACGAAAAGCTTGCAAACACGCGGCTAATGCGAGCCGACATACGCGAAATCGCGATTCCGGCCAAACATGGTCTCGGAAAAGAGGTCACAGGTCAAAGGTCATTTGGGTCAGGGTCATGAAATTTTCAGGGTAGGTGTAAAATTGATCAATGCGAGGGTACTGAAAGTTTCGTCGCGATCGGCCGCTTTTTACGCGAGTTATTCGCGAAAAACCATGGGGGGGGTCCATCCGACCCCCCCCCCCTACACATGCGAGGGTTAAGTCAAAGTGTGTTGTTTACATGTCTTCAAATGTTGGCCGTTCAGCTTCCTTTTAGCTAACTGCATATATTCAATTCGTGTACAACATAAATAAAGTAGTCATTGCTTATTTTTAGACATCATTCAAAGCCTATTGTTAGGCTTTCTTTCTCGAATTCTTGAAATTCTCGGAATGAAAATGTCCATGATATCGCGAAGCGTAGGGGAGAGTGGGGCACATTCGTGCATGGGGCACATTCGTTTTCAGCAGTTTATGGGAACACGAGTGACTGCACGAGCTCAAGGTAAATTATGGAAATATGTCTATCATTGCCGCCCTTCGTTCACCGTAGAAGACAACACTGTACCTGCTGTCATGCTTGATAAAAACGCAAATTTGTAATATTCCTGAGCTTTCCAAACTTTTCTCATATCATCCATTTTCGTGATCCTGACTCGGAAATGTGGTTCAGCTTTTCAAAATTGGGGGTGAAGAAGCCCACTCTATTCACGGAACTGCTGCAAACTTGTTTGTTGAAAAAGTGTCATTTTTTTTCAAAAAGAAATTTTGAAATATATTACTAATAACGTTGTGGGGCAGGTTCGTGTACGCACTGCCTGGGGGCACATTCGTGCATATTTTTTTTAGTTTTTGCGATTTATGACTTTATCTGTAGTAGGTTTCTCTAATGACGTTCGCCTGACTCAGTCTCGACTGCTTGCGACGTCGTGACGAGCAATTCACGCGAACTTGGCGAGGTCACGGAGGCCGGCAGTTGGCACATTCTTGTTGGCCAGCCCATTCTTTCTACATTTGTTGTGCAATGCATTCTTGTCGAAAGGAATCAAGTGAAATGACCCCCTGCCAATTTCCTTTGGTAAATTTCTTGTAATGCCCGGTAATTTCTCGAATTTTGCCGGGTGAACGGAAGTGCCCCATCTCTTGAACGAATGTGCCCCATAGGTGGGGCAGTTTCGTGCAAATGTTCAGAGTTAATAAAAGTCATTTTTTCTAATGGAAGCAATAATTTTATAGGATAACTTTTAAAGAGGAAAACTATCTGCAATAGTTCCTTTCCATACTACAATCAACAATTTTGCCATTGCACTAACCAAAGAACAGATATATGGGTTTATCCATTTTTTGCACGAATGTGCCCCACTCTCCCCTAACTTTGTGTACCTATATATTTTTTTTGGTGTTAGTCAACTTTTATACCCTTATACCGCCGCTAAACGCGCCGTATGTACGTACCTACCAAGTGGTGATACAACTGATTCAAGGTTGCACTGCAACATTGTCGAAACCAAAAGAATTTCTAGCCATCTATGGGAAGTGCAATGGTCGAATAATATCTCCCACCTTTCCCATACTGACACGAGCACTGAGGAGGTCAGTGCCCTCTCCTATCCTTCGCTCTCTACTCTTCCCCTTCCTCCTCTCATCTCCCTTCCTCCCTTTTCCTCTCTCTCTCCCTCTCGCCACTGACATGAGCGGGTGAGTGAGGACGTGAGTAGATTAGTACTCCCTCCCTCCCTTTCTAACTCCCTTTCTCCCACCCTCCTTCTGTTCACGAGGTGAGCAGGTGAGTACTGAGGTGAGCAGGTGAGTACTGACGTGAGCGGGTGAGTAGGTACTGAGGTGAGCAGGTGAATAGGTACTGAGGTGAGCAGGTGAGTAGGTACTGAGGTGAGTAGGTGAGTACTGAGGTGAGCAGGTGAGTACTGAGGTGAGCAGGTGAGTACTGAGGTGAGCGGGTGAGTAGGTACTGAGGTGAGCAGGTGAGTAGGTACCGAGGTGAGCGGGCGAGTACTGACGTGAGCAGGTGAGTACTGAGGTGAGCAGGTGAGTAGGTACTGAGGTGAGCAGGTGGGTAGGTACTGAGGTGAGCGGGTGAGTACTGACGTGAGCAGGTGAGTGGTGTCGCGGGAGATCTGGAACAGCTTGCGGCTGCCGTAGTCCTTGAAGTTGAGCAGCGCCTGCTGGATCTCCTCGGCCGGGCTGACGGTGGCCTGGTTCTCGGCCGACCACGTCTCGATGTACACCAGTGAGATGCGCGTGTTCAGCGTCTTGTAGTACTGAAACGGAGCGGACCGTAACCATCCCGCACTGCATTTACCACGGGACGGCGCACTCGCCCTCTGCAGTGAGCGGAACGTCAGCACCCCCGCCCAGCCTGCAGGTATGTATGTACCAGGACAGGCGCACTCGCCCGCTGCACTGAGCACTGAACAGTCGCGATGGAGCAAGCTGTAACTGGATGCATTAGGTCATGTAACGTTCCAGCTAAGTCACCTTGTAAATGGGCTTTTCGGGTTAAAGCGCCTTGTAACTGAGTTTTAGCTGACCACGGAAGCTGTAAAATGTGCGCTCGTCGTACAAGTGCGGCGTACCGCTCCGAAATGCACAGAGTTGTAAACGCGGCACTCAAACGCCAGGCACCTATTGGATACTTAGATAAAACTTTAGGGATTGATCTCGTGTATAAATGGGAACTAACAACGAGTCACTGAAAAGACCCTCTTTGATACATTTATAACAGAGACGGAGGAAATGCAGGTGTCGGGTATTTTCAGTTCCTCTAATTGACGATGAGGTCAATGACGATTGAAATGACGGTAAAGCCAAACCGTGTTAAAAGTTGTCTGAAAACTGGGCTTTGGCCGATAATTCAGGTAATTACCGACAATTTCCCGCCAATGCAATCTAAGACATCAAATGGTGCAATGCGCATCAAACGTTCATATTAGATAGGAAAATGAAAATGTTGTATTTGGACAAATGCCAACTAGTTAACGTTTATTCCATGCACCATACTTTATTTACACTAAAAAATCGGTGATGCGTATTGGTGAAGTAAGGGAGCGCTCTGCTATCGACATTACAGTGCAGATGTGAGCGCACTTGTGACTTCCTTTCTATGCTGTAGATTTGCAAACATCATTGGTAAGTGGTAACCATTTTTTTCGACTTAGCGTCTTGAGCTAAGACCTTCAGCGGCTTGCAGCCAACCATTAGCTATAAGGTTGTAAAAGTTCAAGGTGCTTCTTCAGCTCAATTTCTATTTCTTCTCAAGCCTTGACCGGAGCACGTAAACAAAACAGCACAGAACACGAGCTTTGATACGCTGATCACGGCACCGAACACCGAGCGAAATCTACATATTGCGAAAGGAAGAGACTTTTTCAAATGCTTGTTTACCTCGTTCCGGTGCTTCCGACGTTGTTTACCCCGTTTAAAGTCAGATAATTGATTGCACAAGCCGTCTATTTTCTCAGTTCCGGAAAATAAGTGAGCTGTGATGAACAGCTGTGACGTTTTGCCTGCTTTCAAAAGTTCCGGGGAGGAGGGGAGCCCGAAGGTATGCTCGGAGGAGACCGGGGAGCCCGGAGGTCTACTCGGAGGAGACCGGGGAGCCCGGAGGTCTGCTCGGGGCGGTGACTGGACTAACGGACAGTGGACTGCTCTGCAGTGCTGGCCGTGAACCGCGCCTGCTCCGCGGTGTCGCTGAGGGCCGTGCCGGGCGCCGGGCGCCGCTGTGGGCCGCGGTGTCGCTGTGGGCCGCGCTGTGGGCCGCGCCTGCTCCGCGGTGTCGCTGTGGGCCGCGCTGTGGGCCGCGCCGGGCGCCGGGCGCCGCTGATCAAAGTGGAGTGGCCGCTCAGCAGGGACGCCCCGGTGCCAAATCACTGCCCTCAATCAGCAGATGGGAGAGGGCGGCGGGCGCCGCGGGCGCCGCCACACAAAGGGCGCCGTGCCCGTGTGAACGGGTCATTTTCCGGCCCGTCTCCGGACGGCGGCGACTGTCCGGACACGATTTGCAGTCGGCTGGCAGTCGCGAACGGCGCCACTCTCGTAAATGGTTAATTTCTAGCGGCGCCGCGCGCGGCTCTCGGTGCCGCGCAGATGGGGCGTGGCTGCCGGCGGCGAACGAGCCGCTGCGCTGTCCGCCGGTCGATACCGGCCGCCGCCGCCGGCGCGTCTGCGTATCTTGGGGCCGAGGTGCGCGCCGGTCGGCCGGCGGAGCGCGTGAGCTACCTGTCGACGGCGCCTCCTCTGCCGACTGCCATCGACCGGCGCGCCGCAGCCGGCCGCCGCCGACCGGCCGCTCTGTTTTCTCTAACAACGCGAGAAAACGGCGAGCGGCAGCGGCCGATATTTGTCCGGCGCGAAACAGGAACGGACAACGACGGCCCTCCGCGCGCGGAACAGGCGGCGGCTGACACTCCTCCCGGCGCGAAACAGGTGCCTGGCCGGAGGACGAGGGGGAACTGGGGGTGGGCTGGCCGGGTGCAGCCGAGATGGTGGACGGCGCCGTCATAGCCAGCTGGACATCCCAGAGTCTGGACGACAAATAATCCTACACAGAGTGATGGCGCCTACTTGGTCATATCGGACCAGTCCTTCCTCGGCAGAGGAATGCTCCTCCACACCAGAGGACTATCACTCCCGCAGAAGGACCAGCCTCCGCACTGGACCCGTCCTTCCCGATAACTCGCTAGACCCGTCCTCATTCACCAGCGGATCGAGGACCAGTAGTTTCCCACATGACCAGTCCCTTCCCACAGGGGACAGTCCTCCTTTACCGAGCCCAGTGATCCCATTAGACCCATTCTTACCAATGCCGTGGATAGGATTTGGCAGCACTAGCCGGAGTTACCGGCAATAATATGCAATGTATTCTTTTTATTTACGTCCAGCTAATCTCGCCGAATGTGTTTGATGGCGTGAATGATTATGAATGTTGCCTGAATGAATGAATGAATGAATGAATGAATGAATGGTGAATACTGATGAATGTTCCCAAATGCCGTGAATGCGCATTCACGGCATTTGGTAACATTCAGAATTATTCCACATTCACTTATTCATTCGTTCAGGCAACATTCATAAACATTCACGCTATCAAAATAATTGGACAAGTTTAGCTGGATGTAAATAAAAAGGAATTCTTTGATATAAATGCCGTAAACTCCGACCAGTGCTGCCAAATCCGATTCACGGCATTGGTAAGATTGGGCCCAGGTCCCGCCCGCCCAAGGACCAGGTCCCGGTCGCCAAAGGACCAAGTCCCGCCCGCCCAAGGACCAGGTCCCGCCTCCCAAAGGACCAACAGACTCTCACCTGGTCGGCGATGTTCACTATTTGGATGGCGTCGTGGATAACGCTCTCCCGGGTGGAGGCGTTCCGCAGGTCAAACTGAAATCACACACGACACCGGTCACTGCCGACATTGATGATAACATACACATCGAGATGATGTCGAGTAAAGAGATAATCTAGCATCTTTACGACGCATGTGATGATACTTGAATGCGAAGCACGCTAATATGGCTTATGCCTAATCAATTAAGCAAATGCACTATTGTGTCATAAAAACGGGCAAACATCTACCGTAAATGTTGACCATTGAGTAGATCGTCAGGTCTACTGCCGAACTGCTCAATGCTCTTACTCGCGTGTTTCCACCAATCAGCTTCACCTTCAATGCTCGAAACGCTCAAATGAACAAGACAGCAGCGTAAAGACCAGCAGAGCTCTCACTAACACAGGCAATGACCCGACTATGTACAGGCACCACGGGAGGACCGCAGACAGCCCCGGACGGCCTCAGTCCCAGCGCCTGCCACACGCCCACCAGGTCTCCCGCACGTCCACCAGCTCTCACCATGGCCTCCCGCACGTCCACCAGCTCTCACCATGGCCTCCCGCACGTCCAGCAGCTCTCACCATGGCCTTGTCGAGCACCAGCGCCAGCTCGATGTGTTTGGTGACCATGCGGACGTCTCTGGGCGCGCGCGGCGCCTGGCCGGCCCACTCGGGCGGCGGCACGTCCGATAGGTCGCGGTAGTTGCGCAGGCCCCACTCGTACATGCGCGTGTTGGCGCACGCCTGGGTGGTCAGGCTGGGCGCCTCGTAAACCAGGTGCGGGTGCTTCGACTGCCGGCACACAACACATGACACGTCAGGGCCGCGCGACGGGACTGCACGTCACACGGCGGAGCGGGTCAGCGGGGGAGCACGGCATACGGCGTGTCACGGCGGCTCAGCGGGAGAGCCCGGCTTTGGGATACGGTTTGGGGAGCCTTGTTTGGGGCACGGCCAGGGGGGCGAGATTTGGGCTGCGTGGTTTTCCTTATTGAAGCTTTATTTATACAAAGCAGACCACAACAGCCACATATCAGTAAGATCGGCACAAAGCGTCACGCAAAGGCCGCAGTGGCATTAAGAATGCAAAACCCGAGAGCGGCAGCACCCCCGCGCGGCGGGCCGGAGCCGCCGCCGGAGGCGTGCACTGCCCCGCCCCACCGCCTAACCAACCCACCAACCCACTGACCCACCGCCCCACCGCCCCACCGCCCCACCGTCCCACCGACCCACCAGGCTCGGAAACCAGCGAGAGCCCGCGGCGGATGGAAACAGCCCGGGGTGCGCCCCGTCCCACCGATCGAACCCCGAAAATCCAGCGACGGCGCAGCCGACAGAGACAGTGAGTATGTCACCGATATATCATATACGCATTATTCACTCACTTTGAGGTGTATAGGGCCTTTAAATTGTGGATAAATTAGTTCGCTGTTGTTGCAAATTAATTAAAGCTCACTTATAAACTATTTCATAAACAGCTTAAATGAACAGTAGGCGGACGCCATTTATAATCGTGCCGCGTGCTAAGCACCAGAATAAGAAAGCTGTGACAAAGTTGGCCTACATACTTAACTTTGAACTCCTGTCTCTTGTCGAACGGTTTGCTCATAAACGGCTATTGATCGTCTGTGGTAATTACCCAGCCCTGTACTTAGCCGAACTAAGTTAGGAGTTTTCTACGGGCCTGTTCTGAATTCATTGAAGTTTCATCAGTTCCAAAGCCTGCGATCCATGCTGATAAGGAGCCAAGAGAAGTTTGTCCGAACCTTGGGAGACTTTCCGCCAGCTATATTTGCCCTGAGATTTGTAGCGATTTTCCAACAAAGACGTGCCACACAGGCTGGATACCAACTCCATCTGGGATCAATGGCCAGCGCCATTTCTCCTTCGCTGAGCAGAGAACAAGAACTAGAGGAAAACCTCCAGATCGTCAGCTTAGGATCGGGAGAGGTTCACTCCTATCGCTTCCACATAGAGCTGATTTAAAAAGGAACAGAAACACCCTAAACGGCTGCTCCCATTTTTCAGGGAGGGAGAGAGAAAGAGGGGAGGGGGAGAGAGGCGACGTGTTTGATCATTGCGCGGACCTGCGGCCGGCCAGAGGTGAACTGGCACTAACCATGGGTCCAGTCAACGCCGTCCAGTCTCGGTCGCGGCTGGCCGGGCTACAGTCGGAATCGCGGCGGGCCGGGCTGGGTCGGCGCGCGGCCGCCATTCCCTGTCGATCGTAGCCGGCGGCAATTACCGACACGGCGCGGCGCGAGCGTGCCGGAAAGGCGGCGCCAATCGCTCATCACGGCTGACGGATGGTCGCACCGGGCCGGCCTCGTCAGCGGTCCGGGCCGTCCCGGTCTGTGGTACTGTCCTCTGCGGACATCGGTCTGTGTGTACAGACCCCTGCGGACACTGGTCTGCCGTACAGTCCCCTCCGGACACCGGTCTGCCGTACAGTCCCCTCCGGACACCGGTCTGTGGTACTGTCTCCTCCAGACACCGGCTCTGTCGTACTATCCTCTCCCCTCCGGACACTGGTCTGTCATACTGTCCTGTCTCGTTGTCCCGTGCACATAACCGCAGGTTGTTTGAAAAGACAAACACTATTCGTTAGAATTGTGTTTTTCTATTGAAAAACAGCCGGAGCAGTTCGAGGTTGGGGGTGTTTTCCATACTTGCCTGAGATTGGTAGGTACAACTTGAGCGGGGTCTAATAGTTGTCAGGAGAAGAGGCCAAAACTAGAAGAAACATTGCTCTTGGACAATTATTATGACAATTTGTAGCCGTCCTTATTTGATGTAATGCGTTTGCACCAGGAAAAAAATAACAAAAATGAAACGTCCCAGAGGAAAGCAAAATCGAGGAAAAAGAAGTAGAGTCGTGCTAACGCTAAGAATAGCTAAGAATTGCAGTGTTTTTTAGCAGCAGTCTCTGGAGAGTCTGTATTGCAAACATTAACAGTGTTTAAAGTACGCAACGTAGGCAGTTCGTAGTTAAAAGGTCTGTAACGGGGAACGAGTCCGTACCGAGAGCTGCCTGCAGCGCAGGGCCTGTACCGCGGGCAGTATGTACGGCGGACAATCCATACCGGGCCGCGGGCAGAGTCAGTACCGCGGGCAGAGTCCGTACTCCGTACGGCGGACAGTCCGTACGGCGGGCAGAGTCCGCACCGTGGGCAGAGTCCGTACCGCGGGCAGAGTCCGTACCGTGGGCAGAGCCAGTACCGCGGGCAGAGTCCGTACTGCGGGCAGAGTCCGTACCGTGGGCAGAGTCCGTACCGCGGGCAGAGTCCGTACCGCGGACAGAGTGCCGAGTCCGCACTGTTCGGCGGCCCGCTCTCGGCGGCGCCGGCCGGCCGTCTCGTCGCGCGCTGATTGCGCGTCAGTCACAGTGGAGCCCACCTGGAGAGCCAGCGCTGCGCTCCTCGCCGGCCCAATCAGACCTTATTGAGGCAATTCGCCGGCCGAGCGCGCCGCCTCGCTCGATACCTACCGCCCTGCCGGGGTGTCAACGTCTCATAAGCGCGCATTCAGCCGGCCGCCGGCCGATTGGCGCCGCGGAGCTGCCGGGGCTGCTGTGGCCTGTGGGGCTGTTGTGGGGATGCTATGGGGCTGCTGCGGGGCTGCTGAGGCCGCCGGCCGGGGCTGCTGTGGCCTGTGGGGCTGTTGTGGGGATGCTATGGGGCTGCTGTTGCCGAAGACCGGGCTGCTGTGAGGCTGCTGTGGGCTGCTGTGGGGATGCTATGGGGCTGCTGTTGCCGAAGACCGGGCTGCTGTGAGGCTGCTGTGGGCTGCTGTGGGGATGCTATGGGGCTGCTGTTGCCGAAGACCGGGCTGCTGTGAGGCTGCTGTGGGCTGCTGTGGGGATGCTATGGGGCTGCTGTTGCCGAAGACCGGGCTGCTGTGACCGCCCCAAGCACGTGGTTGCGGCACGTGGCCCCATGATACCGGCAGAGTCGCTGTGATACCGGCAGAGTCGCTGTGATACCGGCAGAGTCGCTGTGATACAGGCTGGGTGGCCGTGTTTGCGGCCGGGTCTGCTGCGCCGGCGGCGGCGGCGGCGCCGTCTGTGTGCCGGCTCCGGCGGGCGCAGATGTAGCCCCTCTGTTGGCGCCCGGCGTCAGCCTGTTTGTCCTCCCGACACGGGAACAAACAATCCGACTGTTGAACGAAGCACCATGAGCGTCCACCGACGACGGCGGCCGGCCGGCCAAACCACTGCAGGTCGACGCCCACTTCAGCCCGGCCGGCCCCGACCGCCCGTCTTATTTGATGAAGGATAGCCATGAAATATTTTCCCGGTACTTTACATGTTAGCGACTACCGACTACCAACAACCGACTATTCTCCATGCAGGTGTGCATTTTGCAATGTGATGTGTGTAGATTCGAGTGGTTGATTGAAATCAATGCATCTCGAGACAGCCGAGTTTGTAACGGCTCTATGATCTCTAAATCGCCAGAAGCAGGGCGACAGGTTGTCAGGACCCAGCCTCATGTCGCCGGGAGGGGTAGTACTGACCGACATGTCGCCGGGGCTGCACTGACCGACATGTCGCCGGGAGGGGGCTGTACTGACCGACATGTCGCCGCCGAAGAAGGGGTGGATGATGAAGGTCTCGTTGCCGATCTGGATGACGCCCGAGATGCCGTTGCAGGTCCGCATGGCGGCCACGGCGCCCGGGTAGCCGTGCACCGTGCCGTGGTAGTAGCAGTGCTCGATCTCCTGGGAAACAGACACACAGACGCGCTCTGAGCGGTACTCATACACCGAGAAACACAGCACACGGTACAGATTACTGGCTGATAGGGCAGGGTTTATTCGCATTTCTCCACTGAACTGACGTTGTTATTTGGTTCACTATTGGTATTTATACACAGCACACAGCGCGCATCCCGGGTGGCGCAGCCGTCATTCGCCATTGCAAACCAGGGCTGCGGAGTCGATGATTTTTTTGGTGACTCCGACTCCAACTCCGACTCAGACTTTAACCCGCGCCCTGGTGGGGTCTGTTAATAACGCGACCTGGTGGGGGGGGGCTATTTTTTGCCCCCCCCCTCGTATCTCCGAAACTACTGGACGGATCCGCAAAATTCAAACGGCGTTCGAAAGGCCTGTCAAATTTGTCGAAGAAAACCAAATTTCATTGACCTCGGGGTCACCGAGGACGTCACAGGTCAGGTCAAAGATGAAATGTTTCACCGTTCACGGGGCTTCTAGGGAATGCGCTATAACACCGAGGAAAACGCATTTTGTCGAGAATCAGCGGTAGGGCGTCAGTTGCCTAGTAGATATGTTGCTATTAGAGGTCACTGGCAATGCCAGGTCAGGTCACAGGTCAGGTCACCAAGGGTCACAGGTCAGGTCACATGAGCCCAACTTTACTAAGGTTGTGTGATACATGTTTTATGGCCAATTTTTCATTTCCAACTCAATGCTGTTGGTTATAAGACTATCAGGTACGGATTAGGTCAGTTTCTGGTGAAGTTCAGGTCAAGGTCAGGTCAAGGTCAGGCCAAAAAAGGTCAAATTTTAAAGTTGATATTTTTGCATAAAATGGGTATTAATTCGATGCAGCTCGTCACGGGGAGTCTAATGGTGGTCTTTGTTTTGCGCTACGGGGTCTAGAATTGCTAAAAATTGAGTTTGAAAATTTGACGTCATCAATTTTGAACAGTTTTTTCGCTATAACTTCGCCAAAAAAAGAGGTATCAATCTCAAATTTGGTATGTGGATGGAAGGCGGTAAGGACTATCACATTTATTCCGGTTTTTGCGAAATTCAAAAAACTTTTTTGGATTTTTCGATTATTATATCCAAAAAATCTATTTTTTGATTTTTGGTGGTCAAAATCCAAAAATTTCAAAAATCCGAGATAGCAGTTTTGTAGCCCTGTTCAATCTACAGCTTTCATGTCTTTATCATTTTTCTGTATTTGCAAAGCTATAGGCCTGACAGCTCTTCCCGCGAAACCCTTTTTTGGGTCGAAAACGGCAGAACATGACGTCACTCTGACGTCATTTCCGGCCAACCTATCATAGCCTTTGGAAAAAAAAATTTGGTCACAATGTGTAAAATTGATGTCCGGGAGGGTACTGAAAGTTTGGTGGCGATCGGCGCAGCGGTTCTGGAGATATATCGAAAAGGCTGGAGGGGGGGGGGGGGGCAAAAAATAGCCCCCCCCCACCAGGTCGCGGGTTAAAAATGGACTCCGACTTCGACTCTGACTCCAGCTCAGACTCCGACATTGCTCTTTAACCCGGCCGGGCCCGGGGGGTAATCCCAAGCACCGCAGCCCGGGGGGGGGCGTTTTTCGCCCCCCCCGTCTAACTCCGTAAATAAGGGAGCTACGGAAACAAAAGCGATACCAAACGAAAGGTCCTTACGAGACGATTCTAAAGCACCTAAAATTTTTGACCTCAGGTCAATTTTCAAGGTCAGAGGTCAAGGTCAAAGGCAAAAACCGGCACATGTGTAGTGATCTCAAAGTAAGCCTTCTAGAAGACGGCAGGCGGCATCAAACCGGCAAAATTAGGTGTCAAACGAAAGAAGAGAATCTGAGGATTCTGAAAATGTGCTCAAAGTGAAAGGTCAAGGTCAAGGTCACGCTCAAAATTGACCTCAAACTTGGCACTTTTTCGCACATCTTGCGTGCTAACTTCCAAGATGTTTTGAAATGTTTTGAGGCTTATCAGTTCCCTATTTGTGGTTCATCTTACGATACAAGGCTGCTCAAAGGTCAAGGTCACTGAAGAGTATCCCTGCTAGAGGCTATTTCACTAATTCAAGTTAGTAATAATAAATAAGACAATTTTGCCATCCGGAAGCTCTAAATGAAGGCTTAGAAGAAAATAGATGCCAGATTCGTGATCAGCGGGTACAAATCCATCATAAACGACCTCTCATGTGTCAAGGTCAACCAGAGGTCATTCGAGGTCACATGAGGTCAACATAAAACTTGACCTTTTCCGAACAAACTATATCATTCGACGCGGCTTGACAAGGCGAATGCAATGGTACCACTGCCGTAGCTCTAGGACCATTTTTGTCGAAGTTATTTGCGAAAAACTAAAACCACATTTCGGGGTCGTTGACCTGACCTCTGACCTCAGGTCACCAAAACTATTTTTCTATTTTTCTCTAGGTCAAACGCTACACAACCGTACTCGTAATTTGTCTTTATCTCTAAAACTCTATTTTTAGCAGCTATTTGAAGTTTGCGTCTGTGACGCCGAAATTTGCCGTGCAGGGATCTAGAAAAATGGACCTTGTGACGTCATCAAGGGGGCTAGGTCCAAATTTTTTACTTCGGAAGATGTCAAATTGATGGGAGAAAAGGTACTGAAAATTTCGCTTTCCTATCCCTAAACGTTCGGGAGCTATCGCAAATATTCGCCAGGGGGGGGCGAAAAACGCCCCCCCCCCGGGCCCGCGAGGGTTAAGTCCATAAAATGAAAGTAAAGTTCATGTCGGATATCTTTTTATCTTAAAATCTGTTTTTTTTAGGTCAACGTGAGAAATATGCTCGATTATTTATGACAAGATATAACCAGTTTTTCCGCGACACTAGGTATACGAGCGTCTCCTCTGGGACGGCCCCCCGGAGCCGGGCCGGCCTCGGCGAGCAGCGTTCGGCGGCAGGCGGGCGGCCGCCTGCGCCCCGGGCGGCAGGGCCGCTGAGGCGGCGGCCTCCTCTGATTGGTGGAGCGGCTCGTGTCATGTGACGGTGGCGGCGCGGGGTCCGAATGTGTTTGCGCGGTCACTACAACTCCCGCCCGACTCCGACTCCGCAGCCCTGTTACAAATTACGCTTAAGCACGCTTATCTTTAGTGAAGGCGTTTCTTCTACGCTGATCCCATAGCTCTGTCCCCTGTGTAATGCGTTAATTCTTCCAATTAGGTAGGTATGTACTTCATCCTAATATTGATATATGTATAATAATACCATTCTCAGTAAAGTGCCTACAAATCGAGCCCGAGCCATCGAGCCACACTGTAGAACTTTCGAGTTGGGAACATTTATTATAGGCAAGGAAAGTACGTGAATTTAGGAAATCGGTACTGCAAACCACCCATGCTCAGGGCTCAGGCAGCTTGAAAAAGTAAGGTTTAACTGATGCATTTCCTTTTATCAGATTTTCCCACGCTGACACTCCCATCACCGGCGAACCGTGACTGCCGACTGGTTTTCGACAACGTTCGATGTTCCGCAGTTTGCGTCCGACTGTCTCCCTCCAGCCCCATGTCCGTGCATTGTCCTGACTTCTGTGCATGCTATACGAGTGGCCCACGGAGTATCCCTGGCAATTATCCGCCGTCGATATTTCCCATCGACAGGGCAAACAGGCGGCCGGCAAATACCGCTGGCCGGGGAGCCTCAGTGTTCGCCGAACTACCGAGAGACTCAGAGACAACCAGCAAATACGAGTACCGCTGGCCAGAGAGCCTCAGTGCTCGCCGAGCTACCAGCCAACCAGGCTCAGAACCGCTGCACTGGCCGGAGCGCCTCAGCCTGTTCGACGAGCTGCGGACCCGACTAAGAGACCAGCGCGGCGGCGGTCGGAAAGTCTCAGTGTTCGCCGAGTTACGGACAGAGTCAGAGACCGGCGCGGCGCACAGTGGGGATTTTTCCGATCTAGCACGTATTTATTCGTAGAGGGCAAACCATAGGTAGAATTGTAGCCAGATTGTGCACAGATGTTGGCTGGTGTGTCCTGGTGAGAATTTTACTTGTAAATGTGCATAATCAACATAGTATAGGGGGTTGAATAGGACCCCCCGCTCAGCCGTTTGGCCCCTGATCAAGCTAGAGCTTCGCGGAAAAGTCAAGCGTGCTGCCTATGACGAAATAAGGCCGAATATATCCAATTTCAAAGTCCAAGGTCATAAGCTGACTTTCCAAGTCAGTTTAATGACCCAACTAAAGTTGGGAAATCGAGACCTCTTGAAACTTCGCAAAGTTATGGTGTTACGGGGTATTTTGGGGTGCTGATCGCGAATTTCATGTTAGTTTTGATCACAGACGATGTCTTTATGCATTTAGGCCAGGTCGGGTCAGGCCAGGTTAGATCAACTAGTAGGCGTCCTGCCGGCCATCCATAGAAGTGTCACCTACTACTGATAGCTTCGTAACATGGAACGAAGGCACCAGAACTACTTCGTAAATATTCAAATGGCTGCTAAAATCGAAATCAGCACCAAAAACTACCCTAGAAACAAGTAAAACTCGAAAAAGTGAACCAAGGTCATCAAAAGGTCACTGACCTTGACTTGACCTTCACGTGACCTTGACACCCACCATTATGCATGGCACCAACATCATTTCACATATTTGAACGTTTAAAACCACAAAAAGACTGGAAACCGCGGATAATGTGAGCTGGCATACGCCGAATCGCGATTCCGGCCAAACATGGTCTCGAGAAATATGCCACAGGTCAAAGGTCAGTTGGGTCAGAGTCATGAAATTTTTAGATTAGATGTAAAATTGATGATCTCGAGGGCACCGAAAGTTTCGGCGCGATCGGCCGCTTTTTGCGCGAGTAATTGCGGAAAACCATGGGGTTTTATCCGACCCCTTCCCCCTCCCCCTCCCACAAGTGCGATGGTTGTGGGTATATAATAAGGTTACGGTATGGTATAATTACGCTTGTTAATCCTATTCCTAATGAATGTGTCTCAGAAAATATGCTCATGTAAATCACGAAGTAAAATTATTCGCCT